GGAGAGGGAGACGGCGTGGCGATATCGATGACGATGTATGTTGTAGGGTTTTGGTTTACAGACGACCAGACCCCTCCTTCTCGCTTTGTCCAGCACGCCAACACCAAGCAGAACGACGCCGCTTCCCCTCCTCGTTTGCTTTCTGTCTCCGCATAGTCCGCAAAAACGACGACGCAACGGCCAAAACGGGGCTCAGGAGAGCAACCCGCTGACCCGCTCCAACGGGCTAACCGGCCGGGCCAACCCGGGTTTGACCGGGTTTTTCCGGGTTTGACTATTTTCGGGCTGACATGAAAATGGGTTGGTATGGCCCGTTTTTTTGGCCAGGTCCGGGCTAATCCGGGTCGACCCGCGGGTTGACAACCTTAGATCACATGATACAGATAAATTTAGATAAAAAAATTCTTATTTATTTTTATATAAGGTGTCAAACACATTATTTTGAAATGACATAAAAGTATCTTACCACTAACTATACAACTATACAAGAGCTCCATGATTGTTATATGTATTATATATTTATATTTTGTAAAAATGACATAATTAATTCCAAGTTCTGGCTCCTCTACTGCATATGAACTCTAGCCATAACATATACTAGCTTATTACCCGGCCCGTTGGCTGGATTACTGTATGTTACCCACTTGTGGAATGAGAGAGAAAGCAAGTGAGAGTGAAGGGATTGGGATCCCACTTGATTAGGACCGACCCACTAATCTGATTCTTCCCGCCCCGCCCCAACTTAAAGGGTCAGAAAGAGTCAATAAGAAAATACGAACGGAGAGGATTAGTCATATATTCAGAAGTGGATCAAACAAGATCAAGGTTGGGTGAGGGCAATTTTTAGCGGTACGCAAAGTTCTGGGTTGAATAACTTTACTTAGGCCTAGAAATTGGTGCTGATGCAGACTGCAGTTTTTATTATATCATCATCAATCATCATTGAATTAGTCCTGGGCATCCCTCCCCGTTGTCGGTCTGAATTCTAATGATGGCTTCATTCCTTGCACCAGCCATATCAGCGAGTTGTCATCTCGAGCATGATTTGCCTATGTACAAATGATACAATTAGAGTATGAAACTGAGTTCAGAGAAAAGGAAAAGAGAATTCTATCACATGCCAATAAATACACACATAATAGTTGAAGCTAAGTGAAAGTCATTACTCGCACATCAATTCTAAAAAATTACAGACTAAACAATGGCTAGAATGGCACTGAAACTACCAAGAATCATGGACGAAACAACTTGTCAAATTAAATAATCCTTATACTGAAACTACCTTCTAACTTGAAATAAGACATGATCACAGTTCATAGCACTCTTATCACTATGAATTGGTTGCAGCTCGTCCTTATCACTGCCTCCCAAGCTCAATTCAAACAGAATAGAGACCGTTATGTAAGATAACCATATCCTTACTGATCATAATTCATTTCTTCACTCCATTTTTGTCGGAGAAAAGAGTTATCCCCCCTCTCCTGCATTTCCCTTTCCCCCTCTATTCTCCCTCTTCTACACAAACCGATCCCTAAACCAGCAACAACAACACAAAAATAGCCTTCGCCTCTGCCATCTCCATCTACTGAACGCGTTGGTGGCAAGACAGGACTGCAGAAGCAAAATTTTATAAAATCAAACTAAATTTTTTGAAGGAGACTCAACCACGAAAAAAGAGTAAAGCAACAATGCTAATAGTTCAGATGGTTGGTTTTGATGTTATACGCCGCTTTTGTTATGGTCTCCAGTATATCAACTGCAACAGAGATGTTTCCTCCAATCATCTTTAGTGCACGATTTAGAAGTAAGTCCTCTTGTTTGTGTTAAACGGAAACATTCATGGGTTCTTAACTCCCCTGTTAGTGTAAATGCAGCAGCAGCAAAGAAGTTTGACATCACAGCAAGCACCCAAGCAAAATGATACAATGCAGTAGGTGATATGTGTCTCGAAGGTTTTGAGTAACTAAAGTTCATGTTAAAAATAAACATGAATTAAAATGGATTATTCTATTAAGCAAACATCCCCTCTAATCATACAAAGATCAGATATCCAAATCACAAACAATTAAGCCATAAAAAATCATCACACATCCAACACCTTTGAATTCCTAAATTTGGTTTTTCGCAAAGTTATGGACTCTTAAGGGTAACGTTCATGGGTAGTCTGTTTCATAACTCTAGAGAGCATAGTAAGCAGCCACCAGCCAGACACAGTGCAGTAGGCGAATATGATTCTCAATTCACAATTTCTCACCACCGGAAGTAAGAACATACCATAATAAGCGTAACGTTCATGGGTGGTCTGTTTCATAGCACTACTACACAATTTGTTAAAAAAGAAAGAAAGGTATTTAGCATCACGGAGGAACAACTTTTACAGGCCAACAACGATAACATGCTGCAACCACCAGAACCGGTATCACAACTCATAGGGAAAATCAAAAGATTTACTCTCAAATTAAGTAATTACAACATCAAGCAATCGTCAAGCACATACACCATCACAAAAGTCACGGAACCTGATTCACAAACCATTTAAACATTTAAGGACATTTCTGCAAAGGTACAACTTATATGTCTTTTTTCCAAGCCATTTCCATCAACATGCTAATAAATTTGCAATGCATAAAACAAACGGGCCAAAACTTGAAATTCGGCATGTTTGACCGACCCATGCCAAATTCTAATTATTCTTTACTTTTAAACTTTCTATATGAAAATAAAAAACAGTGAAAGAAAAGAGACTACTACAATTCGCCATTTGCACATCACGTATTCAGGAATAAAACCATAGAAATTCAAAAGGAACTGAAAATGTTTAGGATCGTTTTAATGTTTAAAATAACCAAATAGATCTTTATGTTTAGTTTTTTACTAACAAATACCAAACGATTCCCTATAAAATACACTATAATTTGATCATTATGATGTCAAATAATTATAAAATATATATTTGAAATGATAAAAATTGGACTAATTGGGTTGGTCGAGGTTGAACAATTGAATAACTTTAAAATACATTATATTTTAGTCACTAAGATATAAAATAATAGTTTGTTTTAGAATGGCAAACCAATGATGTTCATTTGTTTTACTTGATGGCCAAATCCCATGTAGGGCAGACCCATTCAACTCTTTTATTTTATGGTTAGCGGTTAGCCCATTAGATACCATGCATTAGTTTATTGTTAAACTTTTTATTTTTAGCAATAAAAAGAAGTATTATTTTTGCCTTTTCATATATATTTTATCACCACGGTGAAATAAAAGGGCTTAAAGAAAAAAATTGACACTCCTGGACCCGTTCAAATCCGCATGTGTACGGTAAGTTGGCCCGTTCCACAGAGGAAAGAGAAAAAATTGACACTCCCTATTCTACCCTTCCTACAAACGCTCCTGGAGCAGAGAATTTGAAATTGGGGAAGTGTTTTTTCCTCCCAGCTATTATATGTTTTTAATTTAAAGATATACAACAAATGTACTTAGTGTGATTGGTTATGATCCTTGCTTTTCTTTAAAATGGTCATGGTTCGAATCCCAGTACCTGACTTTTTAATGAATAAAAAAAAGTAATTGTGAAGACCAAAATGTCCTTCCTACTTTCACTCTCGTTGCAGGAAATTTGAAATGGGGCTCCCGTTTTTCCCTTCGGCGTATTATATTATGTGTAGATATGGATTATTTTGGGCTGAATATTTAACTATGAATCATGTGATGGATGACAATATGCCACAATTGAAATTGCAATAATAAAGTGTGTGATTTATTTTGTGTTGATTATATGATCAAACTTGACTTAAACCTAACTCAACCAGCCTCTTTCGCACCAATAGTAAGGAGGAGACTTTTTCGTAATTTTTTTCCCGTAGTTGACTAAAAGGTAACTCTTTCTTTTATTTTCAGAAGTTGAAGTTACAACTAAAGAAAAGAACGATAATTTTCTCGAGCAAGTGAAAGATTCTTTGAGATTTGTGGTGAAAAGGTTATTCTATAAATTTTAGTTTTTTTTTTTTTTTTTTTTGCATTTCGAATGGGATTGTACCATCCACTAAGGTGATGAAAGATGTCCATATAACAAAACATTATCATCCACTAAAGGGTGAAGTTAGTATCCATTGTATTACGCCCTCTCAAACGAAAGCCAACTCACGGGCTTGAAGTTTGCACAAGCTCACCATACCTTGTGCTTTAATCAACTGTTAATATTGGGGGTTGTGGAGATTCGAACACACAACCACTTGGCCAAACAAGCTCTGATACCATGTCATAAACCAGTTGGTCTCAATAACTCGAGTTGTTGGGAGAAGGTTATGCTGGATCTTATACCACACTCTTACAACATATACAATAATAGATAGTACAGTAATCATGTTGGATTGTTCCCTCACGCTCATCACCCAATAAGATATGGCATACCCAACAATTAGAACACCCGCGATGTATAGGCCAATTTATCTAAAACGTTATGTATGAACTGCGATGTATGAGTTGATCTAACCATCCAAAATAGCTCATATGAAATTTTAATGTGAAAAATAGCTTGGTGTAAACGGAATCACTCCAAGAACATATATGAATGGAAAGTTAAGTTCTTCAACACTAAGACAAAATTTGTAAGTAAGTTTTGAAAAATGCAAAGTGAAAACAACATTGAAACAAAACTCCAACCCGACCCCTAAATTGATTTTTTTTTCCCGAGACCTCTAAATTAATTGAACACAAAAAGAAAACATTTACCACCGAGAGGACTGAAAAATATTTCTCCTGACTACTCTATTTTTCAGAAGCAAGCCACCGAATCAGACGCCTCAGTTTATCCGCAAAAATTAAAAACCATATAAATTTTCGTCCCACCCAAAGGACGAAATACCGAAACTGCCATCAGACAATCTTCCAAAATACCGACAGGCGGCAAACGGGAATTCGGTTGGATATCTCCAGAAGAAGGGGTAATACAGGGAATCGACTCACATCATTATTATTTATTTGTTTTATCTAATTTATTTCCCCGCTCTGCTTTGCCCTCAATCCAATCCAATCTCAATCACTACGATCGGAACTTCTCCGTAGCTTTAACGATAATATATTACGAGTCCCCATACGAGTCTCGACGGAATCTCTACGCCTCTTCGTCGATCGGAGTTTCTCTCGCTTGCCGGCGGACGGTGAATAACCCTAACTCCGGTCGGGTGACTGGACGAGGTCTGCGAGGGTTCTTGGTCAATGGTCACAGATTGACCCGACTCCTCGTTCGGGTTGAGTGGAAGAGAATGGAGGGCAAGCGATGGTTATTGGTGGGAATGTTAGTAGCTCTACTTGCTTCTACGTCTTGTGCCAGAGGTAATGGTGGATGGGTGAATGTTGTTTGAGTTATAGAATTTTGTTTCCCCAGTTTCCTACTGGTAGGTGGTGAAGCAAACCAACGCAATTTCTTAAGTTTTCAGAACTTTGTTGGCGTAGAGTTGGGGAGAATTAGGAAGAAGTGGAATTCGAATTTGGTTTCAGTAGTTGGGTTGAGGAGTTTTGATTTCCGCGGGCAAGGCTTCCTGTGGTTCTGAATTCTGATTGATTTGTTGATTTTGCTATTGGGTTTTTGACAGAGTTGAAGATAAGGGAATATGTTGGGGATGGGGTTGATCCTTCTCCGGTTTACAATCACACCCTCGCTATGATATTGGTGGAGTATGCCTCCGCGGTACGTTCTGGATTGAATCAAAGCTTTACAACAACTGATGGGAGTTTCTGGTTTTTGCTGCAATTACTAGAGCCTTGATGACTTGCTAAATGCTATCCTGTTCTTGCAATGAAATGTTAGACTGTTGTTTGTTTCTTAAAGAGTATGCCAAGTGTATAGCGATTGACTGGTGTTTGTTTATGCAGGTGTATGTTTCAGATATGACTGAGCTATTTACCTGGACTTGTTCAAGATGCAATGGTTTGACGGCGGTAATGTTTGATTTCCGCAATTTTTGATTTGGGTTTGCTTGCAAATGGTATTGGCCTGACACCTTGTTGCTTGGAACCAACCAGGGGTTTGAAGTTGTGGAGCTGATATTTGATGTACAACACTGCTTAGAGGTGTGCAAGTCGTGTTTTTTTATTGTTCAAGATATTCTTTGAAGCACAAGGTGTTGATTTGTCTTGGATTGTAATGGCTGACCCCTTTTTGTGTATGTTCTTTTTAAGGCATATGTTGGAGTTGCTCAGGATCTTAACGCTATAGTTATTGCCTTCCGAGGAACTCAGGAACACAGGCATGTATCTTCTATTGGCTTATTATTTATACTAGGGTTCTTAATATTGGTCTGTAACTTGCCGCAATGGCATCTTGAACTCTTTTCGTTCGGCTAATATGCAGTGAAGAAGAGACTCCTCTATGTAATCATGAAAATAGGTTTCGTGCAATGAGCACTATAATTGAATTGGGTATTGGTGTATAATTCTCTTCAATGTATCAGTTTATGTCTGTGATCTTGAGATTCTTGACTGTCGATTGGTATCACTCTATTTCTCCCGTCGCAACTTTTTAGTACTTAGTATGCAAACTCCTTACTGATGCAAATGTCCTATGATCTGGTTATTTGTTTTCTTTCTGTAAACTGGTTGACGAGAGGTTACTTGTGTTGTTAACTTTTGTTGGGTCAACTGGATCCTTGCAGCTTACAGAATTGGATTTCAGACCTCTACTGGAAACAACTTGATTTAGACTATCCCGGAATGCCTGATGCAATGGTATGCTGCCTAAACTAATTAATTTTCTTGAATTAGTTTTATACTGCTAGTTGTTATTTTCTGTTTCTTAATTCTTTATTGGAATCCAGGTGCATCATGGTTTCTATTCTGCATATCACAACACGTCGATACGGTCTGGAATTCTAAAAGCCATTAAAAAAGCAAAGCAGTATTACGGGGAGCTAGATATAATGTTGACGGGCCATTCAATGGGTGGAGCCATTGCTGCGTTCTGTGCACTTGATCTTGTAGTGAGTAGTTATAAACTTATAATAGCCCACCTTTATCATATGGAATGTGATTCGGTATGTCCAGACCGCACTCAAGAACACAACTCGTGGTTTTGTAGGTTAACCGTGAAGCCGAGAATGTTCAGCTGATGACATTTGGACAACCCCGCATCGGCAATGCAGTCTTTGCAACCTACTACCAGGAGCTTGTGCCTAACGCAATCAGAGTCGTAAATGGACGTGATATTGTACCTCATTTGCCACCATACTATTCTATATTCCCAACGAAGACATACCATCACTTTGCCAGAGAGGTAATCATACTTGTTGTAATGCTATAATCTCTATTTAACCCTATACGGAGAGCAACACTGAGATCCCCGTCTTTCACGCGCAGGTGTGGTTGTATAACCTTGGATTGGGAAGTCTCGTTTATACAGTCGAGAAGGTCTGCGACGACTCTGGCGAAGACCCTACTTGCAGCAGGTAGCCCTGCGTCGACACATAACTTCTCTGCTACCCTACTCACAATCCGCATCTTTGACCAACTGCACTTTGCCATTACTGACTCTGTTCTCTCCTGCTTTCATTCTCAGGTCGGTGTTATGGACTAGCGTTTCGGACCATTTGTCCTACTTCGGTGTCGATTTGTGCGGAGACGTAGACTTGTCCTGTGGAATTGTAATGGCGCCTGCTTTGAAGGAGTTCAGCACCACCGATCTGGAGGGCAACCTCGTGCTTTCAAGAGTTCCTGCCTCCCCTATACTGAAGATGAAAACCGAAGAAACTAATACACACAGTCATTCGTAGCATTTTCGACCTCCGAAATTTTAAGGGCAGTGTTTGGTCGGCGGTTACTTGGAGAAGAAGGAATCTTTAATCTTGTACATAGATGATGCTATCCTAGGAATGTATACGTCCCACTCTCCCTCCCCAAAACCATGGGAATAGCCTTTGTAATTACATACATATCTTCGTGTACAGTTTGTATTGTAACCTGACGTTAGTAAACCCTATTCTCTTTCGAATCGAACGGATTCTGTAATCGTTTCCTCTAATCAATCCCTTCATTCAGAAATCCTTTGAATCTCCTTGGCAATGTATAGAATTGTAGGCAGAATGATGGGCAATCAAATAAGCATTGGCATTGAAAAAAAATGGACGATCGTCATGGGAAATTGAGTAATCAACCAATTCAAAACAATAGAAACCATGAACATTCAGATTAGCGATTTCGTTTTCACATTGCCTTGCCAATTTCCGCCGACGAACCTTCCAATTTCCCCTCCTCCACCTTGCTATCACCGTCCTTCTGCTGCAGCTTCGTCTCCGGAGCTTCTGATTCAACGGCGGCCGTGCCTTCCTTCGCTACCTCCACCACCGCCGCGGCGGCGGCGGCTTTCTCTCCCCCATCTGCAGCGGCATTGTGAACGTTCAATTCCGGTAGTGCATCGTCGCTCCCCGCCGACTCAGCCCGCGGGGAACCATACTCCGAATCGTCGCCATCCGATTTCGCGTCGCCGATGGCGGCGGCGATGAGTTCCGCGTCTTTGTGCGACGAGAACACCCCGCTCGGCGACCCTCGGGATATCAATTTCCCCGGCTCCGCTTCTCGCTTCGCCTCCCCCGCGGCCGCATTGCCGTTGTCATCGCTTGATAAGTTTTGATTCGGCAGCGGCGGCGACGGCGATGACATGTCGTCTTCTCGCCTGTCCTTGCTCGCGCCTCCTGTATTCTTCTTGGCGGTCGATTTCTTTCGTGTCACGGCGGTGGGAGCGGTGGCCGTGGCGACGGCGTGTTTCGATTTCCCGCAACCCATTTTTTTTTACCCCGGGCGGCGGCGGGTGGAGGAGGGGGAAATTGCGGGTAAAAAGCTTTTCTTCTTCCCTACTCTTAAGTTATTGATTTTGGTTTTAAAAAGCGGATTATGGTTCTTAATCGCGATTATGTATACACAGCGATTGAGTTTAGTTTCCCTTTTTAGGTTTTTGGCAATCAATTTAGGTTTTAAGACAATAGCGGTTTTCTTTTCGTTGCCTTTCAGAGGCTGAGGATGAAGCTGGAGGCTTCATTTTACTTTTTACTTTTGGCCCAAATGGTTCAATAATCATGGTGGGCTATTTTTGGGCATTTGAGTTGTAGTGCTGGATTTATGGAAATACATTCACAACTGTATAAGGAAATAATTAATTTAGAATTTATGTAATTTTGTAATCTTTTTTGGCAATTTAAGTTAAGACGAACAACGGGAAAAACATTGTTGTATGTGTTCAAAACGAGAAAGAACATCATTTTATGTTGATTTAAAATTCATCTATTTTTGTGTATCGTCGTTGTCAATTCATTTTGGTAGCAACCTGTCTTATTCACATAGCTAAGGAATAGAAATGCATGTTTCATGACTTCTTCAAACAACTCATAGTAATTTCTTTATTTGTTGATGACTTATATCATATATTAGTATATAGCAATGCTGAATTGGTTGTAGTTTAAAAGAAATAATGAATTTCCTCCCTTGGATGTCGTCGTCGGAGAAAGTGATTGTGGGAGTGTAAGACCTTCGTCTCCAACATTGATAAGATATCCTTGGCAGAGAGAGAGGGTTGCACCCAGTCCATAGGATCTCCAATACTTAAAAATCGAATACGGATAATGAGGATGACTAAAAATGATATAATGAGAAAAATGAAGGAGAAACTTGTCAGGATTTTGATAAGATTTTTGGCTTACCGTATTGCATACAGTTGAAATAACGTAATCAACTAGAGAGATACAAACTGATAGATGCGTCGTTTGAATGGATTAATTAAAAGACAAGAGAATTTGACTAATTGTCACAAATTTTAAAACGAGTAAAATTTATAACGAGACAATTCAAATTACATATCCCTCTCCAAGATAATTGTAATTATTTCAAAATGGATCAATTTGAAATGGGTTAATACCTTGTTATGGCCTGAACTATGACCATGTAATCAACTTTGGCCAGTGGTTTGAGAAATTAACATCCTGGCCCGAACTATGCAGCATATAGACAAAATTGGCCTGGAGCGTGGTTTGACCGTCTATTTGGACGGTCAACACCGTTGACCGTTAGTCAATTGTCCATATTATTGCCATGTCACGCCTTGTCAGCATATTAATCATTAAAAAAATCAGAATTCAAACTTTTGACCTAAACTTATTATTTACAATTTAAACAAAAAATAATAAAAAATAATATTTGAAATTTTCCCTTATCCTCTCTCTCTCCTCACTCGGACCACACAACCCTCATCCCTTTCCCAATCGTTCTTCCCCCGACGGTCACCGGATCCGGTTTGCAATCTTGAGTTCGCCCGGCGAGCACTTCCAAGAGCGTCGTCATCGGTGTACCCACGCCGGTCGACAGTTGGGAGCTGGTCCTCGCAATTCAGATACCTCACCACTTGTCTCATCGTGGGTCTCGACTCCTGCCTTTGGTGCGAGCAAATGAGCCCCAACCCTAGAACCATCTCCATTTCCTCTGCCACATACCGCCGCTCCAGCCGTGCATCAGCCGCGTCCAGAACACTCCCCATTTGCAGGCACTCAGTCACCCAGTCCACCAGTATAAAGTCGCCGTCGCCGTCGCCAATCGGCCTCGCCCACTCGCCGTTTCCAGCAGTAGAACCCCAAACGCGAACACGTCGGACCGGGTCGACGCCTTCCCTGTTTGGGCCGATTCGGGTGCGATGTACCCGACCGTCCCGACGACATTGGTCGTGTGCGACGCCGCCGTTCCGTGGCTGTACAGCCTGGCTAGCCCGAAGTCCCCGAGGCGGCCGTTCATCTCGTCGTCGATCAACACATTGCTGGACTTGACGTCCCTGTGGATCACAACCTGCTCCCATTCCTCGTGCAGGTAAAGCAACCCCGCGGCAATCCCTTTCAAAACCCTAAACCTCTGCTCCCAGCTCAAACATCGCTGCCCGCCGCCGCCGTAGAGGAAGAAATCCAGGCTCCCGTTCGGAATGTAATCGTAGACGAGAAGGAGATCGCTCCTCTGCTTACACCAACCTTGAAGGTTCACCAAGTTCTTGTGCCGCAATCTCCCCAGACTCTCGATCTCCGGTTCGGTGACCGTCGGGGGAAGAACGATTGGGAAAGGGATGAGGGTTGTGTGGTCCGAGTGAGGAGAGAGAGGATAAGGGAAAATTTCAAATATTATTTTTTATTATTTTTTGTTTAAATTGTAAATAATAAGTTTAGGTCAAAAGTTTGAATTCTGATTTCTTAATGATTAATAGGCTGACAAGGCGTGACATGGCAATGACATGGACAATTGACTAACGGTCAACGGTGTTGACCGTCCAAATAGACGGTCAAACCACGCTCCAGGCCAATTTTGTCTATATGCTACATAGTTCGAGCCAGGATGTTAATTTCTCAAACCACTGGCCAAAGTTGATTACATGGTCATAGTTCAGGCCATAACAAGGTATTAACCCATTTGAAATTCCTCAGGCAAAATTGATTCACCCAAAGGTTTACTTTGACAAACGGGTTAGTTTGGTCAAATTATCTTAAAACAAAATAATTAGATCAGATTGATCAATTATAATTTCTCATTTAAAGGACTTGATTGTCTCAAATACCAGTTTTAAGGTCATTGTAGAGAAAATGATGATGCATCTTTTTTTCTTTCTATGATTCTGTCCTTGGCCTAATTTTGTATTCAAAATCTTTAACTGAATTCATTTTGTAATTTCCATGCGAAGCATTCTCCAAAAGATGGTTATGGTCACATCGACAAATCGAGATGGCGAACCAGGCAACAATGCGTTCAGTTTTTTTCTGGCGGTTGCAAAATCATCAGAATTCAGAGCAAACAAGCTAGGATTTGGATTTCCCCACACGATAAGCCTGCTGACCAGTTCGGCGACGAGATTGGATACAAAAGGGAGAATTTGAAGAAGAAAACACGGCACCACCATTTCCCCACCCTCTTCAATCTTCAAAAGGCAGCTACCGTCTCAAGTAAACTTTCTCGCATTCACGGCGTCGCCGCCCTCAGGTCTCATTTTTGGACTGTTCGGAATCGCATCGGGTTGGGTAGATTCATTCCCCTTGTTAGCACGCAAACTGTTCGTGAAAATGCCTGAACCAGTCTTGCTTTGCGTTTGATTCTCTAAACTTTCAATTCGCTCCGGACACGGCGCCGGCCTGTCTTTATTTACAAGTCATCGCCCACGAGGGCAGCAGCAAGCCATCACTGACAACCTCACACCACCTTATCCTCCAATCTACCAAGTGGCCAAATGGGGTTGGGTCGATCTATCCATCTATGTTTTGCATTATAATATTCAGGTATTCATTTCACTGCGAGCTCTGTGGAAGAAAGATGGTGGCTTTTTGTTTTATTTTTATAAATTATCCCGAATTTTTATGATGGGTCGTCTCCTTTACCTCTTTTTTTGGAGGGTGCAATCCTTTAAAGAACTGACCAATACCAAAACCAAGTCCCATCTTTTTTTCTTTCTTCCCTTTTCAGGAAACTGGTTTAGGGCACTTCTTTTTTCTGGTTCTCTGATCTTCCCCATCTCTGGCTCGCTCTGGTTTCCAGTAATCCATCTCTTCCCAAAGCTCATGGAGGGCGCCGCTCCGTCCAATGAACGCCTTGGGTTTGGGAAGATGGGTTATGGGTAACGTTCCTAATCTTCCCCTGAATTCGGTGTAGTCTGGTATTTGCTATTGCATTCATCGGTTCCAATGGGAGTCTCTGTTTGTTCATCTTTTGCAGATGCGAGCATTACAGGAGGAGATGCAAGATTCGAGCACCTTGCTGCAATGAAATTTTCTCCTGCCGTCATTGCCACAACGAGGCTGCGGTATGGATGATCCCTTCTTTCTCCAATCCTTCTGGCTTCTTTGCTCTAGGATAATCTTATATAAAGGGATGCTTGGTTCTTCCCTTGCTCTTTTGGATTTTAGTCAGCAATCATTTCCAGTTCCTCTATTTCTTTAGTGCCTTTGTATGGTTCAAAATCCGGTTGGAAGCACTTATGTTTACTCGGATGCCGAATTAATGGGGGTGTAATTTGCTCCCTTTGCTTTGATTTACTTAGAGCATGCTGAAGAACCCCTGTGATCACCATGAGCTAGATCGGTATGACGTGAAGCAAGTACGTTGATTCGTGAAACTCTGCATCTTTTTGATTAATACTGGATCAAATTGGGAGAATTACTGAGTGAATATCAATGGTTGAATCGTGTGTGTTCCAGGTTGTATGTGAAGTTTGTGACACAGAGCAGCCGGTACTGATTTCTGGACTAATTTCTGAGGAGCCTTCCAAATTCTAGGTTCGGATCAGTGTTTCAACTTTCAATCCTAATTTTCATGTTTCAGGTTGCCCAAGTTTGTACAAACTGCGGTGTCAACATGGGGGAATACTTCTGTGGAATATGCAAATTCTTTGATGATGATGTAAATCCTTATTCTTGATCTAATTCATCCTAATTCGCCATATACATATATGGTGATCTGCAGTATTGATTGATGTCCTTATTGAACTTATGCAGATTGAGAAAGGGCAGTTTCACTGTGATGATTGTGGTATCTGCAGGTTGGCCTATATTCATTTCTCCACTTTTTTTTTTCTCTCCTAAGCACCATATCTGCATACCAGGATGCTGATCCAGTAATTCTCTTTCAACTGTTACAGAGTTGGTGGCCGTGAGAACTTCTACCATTGCAAGAAGTGCGGTATGCTGTTTTTCTTCTGAAGCTTGGTTTTCACCATTACCCTCCTTTTTCTCTTCACTGCTGGAACCTCTCTTTGGTGGTGAATGTTATGTCTGATAATGTCCAGTGAATTGCTCAGGTTCTTGCTATTCAGTTTCCCTCCGAGACAATCACTCGTGCGTGGAGAACTCAATGCGCCACCATTGCCCAATATGTTACGAGGTTGGCATGTGATAGAAACTCTTTCAAACGATACGTGAATCATGTTGTTTCTGCCATTACTGAATGATGCCATGTGCCCGGTTTATGTAGTACTTATTTGACTCCATGAAGGACACTGTAGTGATGTTATGTGGCCACACAATGCACCATGAATGTCGTGATGAAATGATGAGGCACGAGAAGTAAGCATCTGTACCCTACCTCTCCCCCCCACTTTAGTTCAGTAGTTGTTAATCTCGTTTCTGGGCTCAGGATATCATATGATACATCATCGTCTTCTATGGCAGATTCTGTTGCCCAATATGTTCAAGGTCAGTCATTGACATGTCCAAGGCCTGGAAGAATATAGATGAGGAGGTACGTTAGATAAGATCCCCAGATTTATCGTATTTCATTAGGGCTTGTTCTTGAAAGGACTTCTGTCTTTGCTATTACAGATCGAAGCAACGGTCATGCCAGAGGACTATCGAAACAAAAAGGTGGCCTGATTATGTCTTTTGGTTGATCTCCATATTCTTCTGCAGATTGAGCTGGTTATGAAATCGAACCCTCTGGATTCTTTTCTTCTGTCACCAGGTTTGGATCCTTTGCAACGACTGCAACGACACTACAGAGGTCAACTTCCACATAATTGGGCAGAAGTGCAGCCACTGTAAGTCATACAACACGAGAACCATTAGACCTCCTGTTCTTCCGCAGCAATGATGGATTGACTGGAAGCGAGGGCCAGGGAGAAAGCCGATTGAGATAGGAAGGATGATTGATCAATCATTTCTGTCCTGGAAACCGAATTGGTTGTTGTACCATCGTGGTTTTTGGATGTGAATTTTTCTTTTGTTGTTGTACCATTGAAGTTTGAACGAACTTCATTCCGTGCCCCCTCAGAAACTTGGTTTTCTGCCAGGCCAGTAGTTCTTTCTATCTCCAGATTGTGGAGTGTTTTTGATTGATTATTGCCCCACTCCAGTGGAACTGTATGTTTCTGGGTTCGATGTATAAAATCTTATATAGCAGCAAGATGAAAAATGAATCAGGCGTTCATTCTCGATTCGGGATTCACCAAGTACTCGAGTTTTGATATGGTCAGGTATGGACCAGCTCGTCGCACATACATAATTATGTTAATGAAATTGTTGTAATGTCAACTTGTCAATAGTATTCAGAGTTCAGACTAGTGTGTACTGTGTAAGCATGTCCAAGTCGGCACCTTCTTGTGAGAGAGCGTCCACAACAAAAAACGGATCTTTGCTGGCACGATCTTCCTCCACTGCCAAACTTAAGCTGAAGGGTAATTAGAAATGCCAGGGAACTTGTCATCAACTAATACCCTGTACATGGAGTTAATCGAGAAGCCAACCTCCAGATTGGGATGCCAAACTAATATGCAAGGGCTGTTAGCTCCACAACGAAAATCAAATGAATTGAGAAAATTAAGCAAGCTCACCCTCTCCCTCTCAGCCCCTTGATTAGGGCATAATTACACATGTTTTCACCCGATATTCTTGTGATGTTTGAGGTGTTTATATCGGACGAGGTTCAATTTTACGATAGGTTGTGCAAGTTTTTAGCATGTTTCAGGTCTTAGCTGGTGGAATTGACATCGGGAGCGAAAGTCGAACGCAAGAGGGCGAAAATGGAGTGTAAAGGACAAAATGGCAGAGATCACGACGAAGGCACTATTATCACAGGCGAGAGACCGTGAAGAATGAGCCCAGACCGCGAAGATTGTCAGGTTCCAGGAGGTTTTGTGCGTCACGCGGGCAGGGTCAATTGTCACGGCCCACGGGTACTAGACCGTGATAATTTCTATCCGGACGGGATTGGTCTAGTGGTAATACCACTAGCTTTGAAGCTGGAGGTCCTAGGTTCGAACCCTTTAGTAGTACCTAATAACAAAAAAATAACATATATCATCCTCATATAAAAAAAGATAATTTCTATCCGGTCGTGAAGATGATAAGTGAAACGGCGCGTTTTGGGACGAGATCACAGGCAAGCTTTTAGGATCACAAGAGTGATATCTGACTTTGATAATCACCTGTACAGAGTATGCAGTGAGTTGAAACCATAAGGGAGAGAGTTCTAGAGTGAGATTGACTTTTTTTTCATGACCTAGAGAGAGAAAGTCACGAACCAAAAGAGAAAGAAGAGGGTATTGATCTATAAAATGTTTGAAAAGTGGAGATTTCTCCTCCAGAGGAAATTCAAGCAACTAGAGGGGAAGAGAAACAACTTATCATGGTTTTTCTTTCCATCTTTGTTGTATTCCTCTTCTTAATCATGGAGTAGTTCTCCAACTCACTTGGGTATTGTGAACCCTAGTATAGAAATGTGATAAGTTGTACGAAATGAATTCTATGTGTGTTGGGTTTGTGTTTAACACAATGTTTAAGACTTTAAGGTATTTTTCATAATTCTTGAGTGTTGTTCTTCGTATCTTAAAGTTAGGTCAAATTGACCTAGGTGGAGGAATTCCCCATTTGGGCCATAAGAAGCTAGATTTCTTAGCCAATTGGGTAACCCCATATAGGGCAATTAAGGACATACCTTAAACACAGATTAGTGCCATAAATTTATGTGATTGGTTACCTTTTTCGCCATTCCGGATTAGCTTTCGAGGGAGTGGTCTTAGCAATCCTTGGTCGATTAGTTAAGAGAGCTAGCTTCCTAGATTATTTTGACATTCCTTGATTAATCGTCCAAGGGAGTGGGGCTTCTCCACTAATTGCATTCTCCTCGCTATATGAACACACCTTTCCACACTAACGTTCGATTTGGATTACCTTGATACGAGACTAGGAGGAGCAATAACCGGGTGAAGGTTTCTCACTTCGAATTTTGCTTTCAACTGTAGTTCTTTAGCTTTGACTCCAAACTGTTTGTTAGATAACAATTTTAAGATTGAAGTAGACATGGACGGACTCGGGTTGACATTTAAAACACTAGCCCTGTACTACACTCTACTAGAGTTTGCACTTGGGCTTTAGTTGAGATTTAATTGTGTAGTTAGCAACGAGTCAAGTTTTGGACGCCATTGTCGGGGAGAGTTTATGGTCCATTATTCAGAAAAAGTCATTTACTATTAATCTAGCTTTTCAATTTTTGCATTGTTGAGTGTGAATCTTGCTTGTCTTGGCTCGAGTTGTGTTTTGTGAAGTGTGTGTAGGAGGTGTATGACCAGGAGTGATCCGAAACCTTTGGCGCCACGAGACGAAAACATCAACCGAACTCTCTGACTCTTGGCTCGGGAGAGAGAGTTGAGGGAGACAAGGGAAAGACTGACGCATTGGGGGCAACCAAACGTTTAACCCGAAGGAGAATTCGATGTTGAAGAGGAAGTTGAATCAGAATAAGAGGTTGAAGTTGAAAATCTTGAGATGGCGGAAGAGCACGTCCAAGGAGATGAATAACCGAGGACGATGGGTTATTACATGGCCCCACGGATGGAGGATATTCAATAAAGTATCTTGCATTTACCCGTGGCCGTCAACAACTTTAAGATAAAACCCAACCTCATTACAATGATCAAGAACATACAGTTACATGAACTAGAGAATGAATCTTCATGAGAGCATGTCAAGAGGTTTCTCGAGTTAGCGAGAGGTTTGAAGATCAATGGAGTACTCGAAGAGACCATTTGGTTGAGGCTTTTCCCTTACTCTCTAAGTGGGAAAGCTCAACAATGGTTGAACAACAAGCCACCCCTTTCGATAACTTTGTGGGAATATTTGCTCAACAAGTTCAGGAACCGGTTCTGCCCATCTTCCAAAATAGCGGTATACCGGAAAAAGATCACTCACTTCATCCAAGAGGCGGACTAAATGTCAAGAGATGCTTGGGAACGATACTCCGACCCTTTTCTCCACTGTCCATACCACGGGTTTGGAGAGCATTTCTAGATCGAGACCTTTTACGACGGTTTCCTTTTAGAAGATCCGATTCTCATTGATTCATTGTGTCAAGGGAACATGTTCAACAAGATTCCACTGAGATGACCACACTGTTTGAAGGTATGGCCGTTACGGGCTATGATTAGGGGTTGATGAGGCATGAGAGAAGGACACGAGAGAGGGGAGTACACTCCACGGAGGAGGATCCTCCACTTATAGCAAAGATTGATGAGTTGATCTCAACGCTCCTACATGATAGGAAGCCGTTTATGGGTTGTGATTGGTGTTCAAGTCCCAACCATGAGATTGCAGAGTACAAACTTATGAAGGAAACGATCACTCTCGAGGAGCAAGTGAGCTTCATTGCTAATGCTAGGGGAATCAACAATAAGAACAACAACCCCAATAACAACACTTACAATCCGAGTTGATGCAATCATCTAAACTCTGCATGGTGTTCACCAACCAATCCAAGGTCTCTCATTCAATAAAGGTCACAATTTCAAGGCTAGAACTTTCAACAAAAATTTCAACCACAAGGTGGGGTTCCAAGAACAACATCAACAACAACCCGATAATTTTCAAAATTTAAAGACCTAGTCACCACCTTTGTGGGTACAAGTTCTCAAAAGTTCAAGAAGATTGAGCAATTCATGGAACTCGCAACAAACAAGTTCACTTCAGTTGAGGCAGGCCTAAGAAGTCATCAAGTGAGCCTTCAAAACTTGGAGACTCAAATCGGTAATCTTGTCGGGATCCTCACCGAGACCACAAGGAGTTTTGCCTTCCCAAACCATTGCTAACCCTAAGGATCCAAGAGATGGGGTGAATGCTATTTTATTAAGAAGTGAGAAGGTAACTCAATATGTTGCGACTAAAGAGGCAAATGAAGAAGAGGAAGCCCCTCCAAAGGTCCATGAACAAAAACCTTTAGAAGAAGAGAATGAAAAGGCTAAGAAGGCACTACCGACTCCACCCCTAATGGCCGAGTACAAGCATCCACTCACTTTCCCTACAAGAGTGCACAAGGACCGTTTGGAGGTGGAGTGTGGCAAGATCTCGCGTTCTCTTTCGTCGAGTGTCGAGCAGGCGACGTTATGGAGAAGAGGAGGAGCGGCAGGGTGAAGTGAAACCGAAACGATGTGGAAGAAAGAATCGATTAGGGATTAGGTCATTAGGGTTTTTAGTTTGCACGATTTTCTTTTTTATTTTTCAATTTAGTCACATGAAACGTCGACGTTTCCTTTGAAATCAGTCTACCGCCAGTCGGAACAAAACCGGACGGTATCTCGGATCGTGTCAGTTATGCCGTAAAAACCAGCCGGCGCAGTAATTTGCTTGGTAAATGGGTGTCGTATCGTACCTGGCCAAGTGTAACCACCTACTAATGTGTAGTATAGCGGGTTTAGTTATAAATGTCAACCCGGGTCCTAGGTGTGATGACTACTCCGTGAAAGTTATTATTTAGCGGTTCAAGTGTAGTGAAGGTTTAACTAGACTAGCAAGCAAAGTAGTGAAAGTTGTGTTCAAAGTTGAGAGAGGTCACCCAGATATGGTTCCCCCTAGACTGTAGTTAAGCCAGGTTGTAATTCACCAAGTTCAAGTTCAATGATCGTTGTACCGCGGGAGGTTCTTAAACAGTCTGCAGTCTCGACTAAAGGTCTCCAGACCCTCTCAATCTGAGTCCCCAGCGGGCGACTAACCTCCACCGGAGTAAACAGATTGAGGCCCTAACGAACCAAACCTCCTCTACTGGAGTAAATCCGACACAGAATAGTGAATTGACTCCTCAACTAAAGTCGTCAATTCACTACCTTCAATCAAGGGTGCTCTATCAACCTAGACAGATATTCTCTTTCTAGGTCAAAGCAGAAATAACAGGAATTTGATCAGGATTCATGCCATTCAGGAAATCAAACCTCAATTGGATATAATCAACATCAATGAATTCGTACTTGGGTTCATACAATCAGACCTAACATACAAATCTAGGGTTCTTCATATCCAGGTGAGTGAGAGAGTGTTATAAACGAAAGCAAGAATACGAAAGCGAGAATCGAAAAACACAGACACAGGATTTACGTGGTTCACTAACACGATGTGTGTTAGCTAGTCCACGGGCGAGAGAGAGCCAGTTTCACTATATCGAGGAGATTACAGATTATAGAGGAGTATGAGAAGTATTTATAGTACTTCTCCATGTGAGTCTAAATCTAATCCAATCTAGCAAAGAATACGGTTACAGACCAGGCCTAGAACCCGAACCCAAATAACATTGAGCCCATACACCGTGGCTGATAGTCCGATTCA